ATGACGGGAGGAGAGGCTATATTGAAATGGTTTGGGTGGGTACTGAGTGAAAAGCTGAAAAAGGAAAAGGATAATAAAACGGTGGCATTTTCAATGGTTACAGATGCTTCCTAAAAATATCATGTAATTTGCTCTAGTCAAAAGTTAGTGTCATGTGTTCAGTGTAATTTTGTCAGTAACAATTTGTGTAGGTTGTTGTTCGTAGGTGCCATTAAAAGGGTTCTGACTCATAGCAACCCGATACACAACAGACCGCTGCCTGCTCCCACACCATCCTCACAATTGTTGCTGTGTTTGCGCCAACGTTGCAGCCATTATATCAATCCGTCTCCTGGAAGGTCTCTGCTTTTTCACTGAACTCTAGCGTGATGTCCTTTTCCAGGATCCTGCTGATAACAAGAACAGAGAGTGACAAATCCTCAACATTCTTGCTTCTAAGGAGCATTCTGACTGTACCTCCAACACAGATGTGTTTGCTCTTTCAGCAGTCCATGATAATTTCAATATTCTTCTTCACCAGCACCATGAATGTTGATTATGGATCCAAGCAAGATGAAATACTTGACAACTTCAATTTTTTCTCCATTTACCATGATGGTACTTACCTATTGGTCCAGTCGTGAGGATTTTGCTTTTCTTTACATTGAGTTGTAATCCATACTGAAGGCTTTGGTCCTGGGTATTCAAGGTCAAGTCTTTCTCCGGAGTTCAGCAAGCAAGGTTGTGTCATCTGCATATAAAGGTTGTTAACAAGTCTTCCTCCTCTTGATGCCACATTCTTCTTCATACAGTGCAACTTCTCAAGTTATTTGCTCAGCATACAGATTGCATAAGCATGGTGAAAGGAGACAAGCCCGATGCACACCATTCCTAATGTTTAACCACACGGGATTCCTTTGTTCTATTTAAATGACTATCTCTTCATCCATGTACAGGTTCCACATGAGCATAATGAAGTGTTCTGGAATTTCCATTCTTCTCAATGTTTTCCATGGTTTGTTATGATCCACAAGGTTGTATGCCTTTGCATAGTCAATAAAATACAAGTGTTCTCTGCTTTCAGCTAAGATCCATCTGACATTAGTAATGATATCCCTTGTTCCATATCCTCTTCTGAATCTAGCCTGAACTTTTGGCACCTTCCTGTCAATGTCCTGCTGCAACCATTGTTGAATGATACTCAACAAAATTTTATTTGCAAGTTTTATTCATGGCATTGCTCTATAATTTCTGCATCCTTCTGGGTCCCTGTTCTTTGAAATGGATACCAATATGAACTTCTCCTTATCAGCTGGTTAAAGCATTTCCACTGCTATTCCATCGGTTCCTGGAGCCTTGTATTTCCCTACTGCCATCAGTGCAGCTCGGAATTCTCCTTCAGTACCGTTAGTTCTTGAGCCTATGCTACCTCTTGAAATGTTTGAATGTCAACCAGTTCTTTTTGTTTCAGTGGCTCTGTGTAATACTACTTTTTTATAGTTCCTGCATCGTTCAATATTTTGTCCATACAATCTTTTAGTATTACAATTTGAGGCTTGATTTTTTTTTCTTCAGTTCTTTCAGTTTGATACGCTGAACATATTCTCCCTTTTGGTTTTCTACTCTAGGTCTATGCAAATTTCTTTCATTATAATACTTTACTTTGTCTTCTCAAGCTGCCTTTTCAAATTTTCTGTTCAGCTCTTTTACTTTGTTTTTTACATTTGTTTTAGCCATTCTACATTCAGGAGCAAGTTGCTGGGTTTCTTCTGACATCCACTTGGCCTTTTCTTGACTTTTGTCTTTGTAATGATCTTTTGCTTTTTTCCTGTATGAAGTTCTTGTGTCGCCTTCAACTCATCTTGTCTTTGATCATTCTTGTTTAATGCATCAACAGGGTTCTTGAGTTGGTCTCAAAATTCTTTTGGGATACACTCAAGGTCATGTCTTGGCTCTGGTGAAATTCTTTTAATTTTCTTCAGTTTCAGCCTGAACTTACACATAAGACTGTTTCACAGTCACCCCTGGTCTTGTTTTAGCTGATGATATTGAGCTTCTCTATCACCTCTTCCCACAGATGCAGCCAATTTGTTTCCTGTATAGTCCATTTGGCAAGGTCCATGTGTATTGTCACCATTTATGTAATTGAAAAGCATTTGCAATGAAGAAGTCATTGGTCCTACAAAATTCTATCACTCAATATCCAGCTTCATTTCTATAATCAAGACCTTATTTCCAACGTTCTGTTTGTTTCAAACTTTTGCATTCCAGTCACCAATAATTGTTAATGCATCTTGATCACATATTTGATCAATTTCAGGCTTAAGAAATTGGTAGAATTCTTCAATTTCTTCATCACTAGCTTTAGTGGTTGGTGCATAAACTTGAATGATAGTTGTATTAACTGGGCTTCCTTATAGGTGTATAGATATTATTCTATCACAGGCAGAATTGTACTTGAAGTCATATCTTGAAATGTTCTTTTTGAAGATGAAAGCCACACCTTTCTTCCTGAATTTGTCATTCCCACACAGGAAACCATATGATTTTGATTCAAAATTGCAGTCCCAGTCCACCTCTGCTCACTGATGCCTAGGATATCAACGTCTGGGTATTCCACTTCATTTTTGATGACTTCTGATCTTCTTGGAGTCCTAGTTTGCATATTCCACATTCCGATTGTTAGTGGGTGTTTGCAGTTGCTACTTCTCACTGAGTCATGCCCTATCAGCAAAAGAAAGTCCTAACAGCTTGACTCCATCCATGGCATCATGGTTGACTCTCCCTTGAAGAGGCACCTCTTCCTCAGTCCTATTCTGAGTGCCTTCTAACCTGGGGGCTCATCTTCTGCCATTATAGCTGACAATTTTCAGCTGCCAATCATAAGCTTTCCAGTGGTTAATGGCCCAGAAGTGGATAGTTTATTCCTTCTTCATAGTCTGTTCTTAAGTCTGGCAGCTCTGTTGGCACCTGTTCACCTTGGGTGCCTCTGGTATTTTAAATACTAGTGACATCTCTTCCAGGATCACAGCAACATGTAAGCCACCACAGTTTGAAAAACTGACAAGTGGCAGAATTGGAATATAGAGTTTAAATTCAAAGTTCATTTAAGACACATGGTAGTAACGCTTTTTCTTCTGGATTGTGGGGGTAGAAGGTAAAAGGTAGTTTTAAGAAGGGTGAACATATGTATTAAGATTTTTCCATCTCAGTCTTCTGAGGTGGAAGAGAAATTAAGAACTTTTAAAGATGAGGAGTAGTTCCTAGATGGGGTGCAAACAGTTCATGTGCTCAGGTGCTAACCTTGGAGGTTCAAATCCAACCAGACATGCCTCACCTCTGAAGAAAGATCTGGTGACCTCAGAAAAATCAGCCCTGATGGGGCTCGGTAATACTCTGACACACATAAGCCTAATTATCTGTCAATTGATGGTAAAGACGATGGGGAAGGGACCCAGCCTTTTTTGTGAAGTAGGAACAATCAAGGGGGGTGGGGGAGATATTGAACACTAGAAGGAAGGCTAAGGAGAAAGGTGTGACTGTCCTTGAGCTCCTCAACCCCACAGGAACCCCACTTGAAGGGTTAAGGCAACAGCAGCTGCATTCTTCCTGGTAGTTTGAAACAAAACGGATCTGCATTCCAAACCCTGCAATTGAAAAAGAACTATGTGTGCCATCTAATTGCACTCTTTTTTATAGACGAGGTGCCTGAGACCCAGAGAGGTGAACTGAACTGCCCAAGGTCATACAGCTACTTCGGTGCTGAACCAGACCTAGAAAGAGGGAGAGAGGATCTGACTCCTAGCCCAGAGCCTTCACCTCTCCTTGGAGAATGAGACCCCTTATGTAAGGTGGGTGAGAAACAGAAACCAAACCCACTGCTAGTGAGTGGGTTGCGACTCATAGCAACCCTCTAAACTAGAGGTTCTCAACCTGTGGGTCGCGACCCCCTAGGAGTCAAACGACCCTTTTACAAGGGTCACCCGGTTCATAACGGAAGTTACAGTGATGAAGTAGCAGCGAAAATAATGTTACAGTTGGGGGGTCACCACAACATGAACCGTATGAAAGGCTCGCGGCATGAGGAAGGTTGAGAACCACTGCACTACATCTTTTCGGAGCAGACGGTCTCATCTTTCTTCCGAGGAGTCGTTAGTGAGTTTGGATCGCAGACCTTAGCGTTAGCAGCCTGATGTTTAGACCGCACAACCACCAGGGCTCGAGTACAGGCAGCTCAGCTCGCAGGTGCTTCTTTCCGTGTACTGGGAAAGTTCTGGAGCAGGGCTGAGGGTGGAGGTGAATGGGCGCGGAAGTTGGAGGACAGAATGACGGTTTATTACACTTGTAATGTGCCTCGGTACTGCAGCATGCTGTGCTGAGGAGTCCAC